AATAGTGTAAACAGTAAAAAAAAATAGTTAAAAAAACCCTGATTTAATTACTTTATGTCAAATAATGACATTTCCTTACGAGATTACAAACACCATAGCTGTCGAGAAATTTATTCTCGCCGAGAGAAATAATCCTGCACACGTGCGAGCAGGATATTCTGCATATCAAAAACTATTTGTCATCGCTCTGCGCATTCTGCACCCAAAGTACTATATACTTTGAGAAAAGAAATAGGGAATTACACTGGAAAATCCAAGGGAACTTTCTCGAACGAAACAGGGTTCACTTCACACACTGGGCCACCGCGGCAATTCCAACAGTCAAAGGTTCTTTTGTTTATCCACGCCCTGTGTCATACACACAAAGACTAAATAAACATTTCCAAGTCCATTAAATATGTAAATGGAAGTCGAAGACAATATAATTCTTCACATTTTCAAAGTATAACTTAGTGTTTTCCACTAAAATCGACTACATAGGAATTAAAATGTCGGTCAATGAGCTTCGTGTCTGTTCCCATGTTCAGCTAATTGTAGACAGACGGCGTAAGTTTCGTATTGTAATAGTATGGATGTTTTAAACTAACTTTATTTTGGAGGGAATTGTTCTATTGTTTTTTATCACCTAATAACACATTCTACAATAGACAGGCTGTCTTATACTATCTCATCACTATCATATTAACGGTTACAGTGAATCAGTTACAGTACAACTAGTGGGTGGGTCGTGGGGCGAAGAACTAAACAAATGTTATGTCAACTCTTACAAAACAGGCAGAAATGACAGATTATGTCCCATTTCTTATCTTCTCGTTCACGAGAATTTGCTCCCATTTGCCATGACAATGACTAAAATTTTCGGGCCCAGTCCAAAACAATTAGAAGTTTTTTTCGCGCCCTAGATTTGCCCCTCCATTCTCCGCTTCTAGATCCGCTACTGACAATAGATATGGCTTGTGTGATAACTTTCAGAATCTACTGAGCGATACCTCCTATCGTTTTATATGAAATAAATTCTATGCTAAAGAATTATATTTATTTATTTGTGTGTAAGAAAGGGTTGGGTGATACATAAAATCTCCTACTCGTTTTTTATATCAAAAAATATCAACACTCGTCGATAAATTAAAAAAAAACTCGACAAAACCACGTTCTTATTACATTATCGACCTGTGTTGATATTTTTTTATATTAAAAAATTCTCGAATGAGGTTCTCTCTTTCATAGCTAGCTTCATTATATAAATTTTAATGATATTGACTATTCAATATTTCATGACTAGCAGCATTTTATATTTTATGACTAGACTAAAAATAAAAGACGACAGCCCATTTGCGGCAATTCTCTAGAACAAGAGCCATATATGGAAAACTTGATGTTCTAAAATCGTAAGGGGATCACGTGGCTAAGTGGGTAAGACGCTGGCTCGCTAGCCTGGAGGTCGGGTGTTCGATCCCTGCATTGGCCGAGAAAGTTCATCCAGATTTTCCGGCGACCCCCCCCCCCCCCCCTTGTCAGTGATGCAGGACGGAGGGCCTGACAAGGACGACTGTCTAGTCCTTCGGATGAGACGAAAAACCGAGGTCCCGTGTATACATTGGATTGCACGTAAAAGACCCCTTGGCAGTTGGAATTCGATATAAGAGAAGGCGATAGTGCCGCTGCCCGGGCAAAAATTTCCCTCATAGCACACTGTATGGCGTATGCCCGTCTTCATTAGCCCAGTTTAGGAGCAGAACAGTAGGACGTTAAACCCATTTCATTTCTAAAATTGTAAAACAGCTCACCTAAAAAGAATCTAGGTAAATGAATATGGCTTATGTTTAAAGACAATACATATTAATCTTATTGTTGTGTTGACGTTGTTTTTAACCAAAACCCAATTCTAATGTAATTTATATATTTCTGTCTAAATTAGACATTAGTTATTGTGTTAACTGTAGGTGCTATTTTACATAGATCTGACAGGACAAATAAACAACAATTCCAAACTTAAGAGTTTTCTCTTGTTGAGTAAAGATAGATAGAAAACGTGTGACGTATTTTAATAGATCTCCCTTTGGCCATTATCTAGACGAACCTAAATGATGCAACCCAAATGATGTGACGTGGTGAGCACGCGACGTTAAATAGGAAATTACGTCAAGTAAACTTATGGACATGTCATCTAATGCCTAGGTCCCACTGGGCATTTTTTGCCTCGGGGATGTACTACCGATGGAAATTGATGAGCCTCGGGAGGCGTCGGGAACAGGATCCCCGGCATCCCAGAGAAGTTTCTGGGGTGTGGCGAGCCTAGTGAAACCTTCGGAGGCCCGTGAAAAAATTTCCCCGATGTGTTCCCGAAAACAACAGGTCGGGAAGGCATACCCGGAGTAGTCCAGGTCCACAGGGAAGCTCCGGCGATGCTTCCCCGGAACTTCCGCGAAATATTTTCCCCCGAAGCGTATTTAAATCGGGAAAGCCTTTCGGACAAAACTGTTTCGCGGAAGCTCCTAGAAGGCATTCCCAGAGTTCCCGTGTGGATCTGGAATGCTCCGGGGTGCCCCGGGAAAACATTTGGAAAATATTTCAATGCAAGCATTGAAATTTTTCGCAGTTCCTCCTAGGCCTCCCGCTGATTCTACATGGATCCACATGTTCCCGTTTAACACCACTGTCGGAGATACCTTACCGAAGCCAAAAATGTCGAAATCAAAATAGTCGACAGGCATAAAGAGGGCAAAGATGAGAAATGAATTGACGTGTCAAGAAATAATTCAGTTGTGATTTATGGTCACTGGTTTCACTAGTAGTTCGCTTGTACTTACAAAAATTTGTGACATTTTTTTTTCATATTCAGGCTAAGTTCAGTTTTTAAGTTATATAATTCTGGATATAGACCGTGGGTTGAGTGGATGAATCGTTCGGCGCGTGCAAGTTAGATCCCAACGTCTGTCATTGAGTCAAGAGGTGTGGTTTCGATTCCCCGCTTGTACGTGACAAGGAGCGGGGCCGCCTGTCCAACCTCGTGGGTTTTCCCCCGGTCCTTCAATTGAACCATACGTTAGTCCTGAAATGACCTAGTTTGTGTCGAGTGGACGTTACCCCCCCCCCCTACCTATATCACAAGCAGTATTATTATGCAGGATTGTCCGGGGTCGATACCGTGGGGGTAAGCGAGACAAGTTACTCGGGATATTCCAGTGTTGTTTCCCCTTGTTGGAATTCGACAAAGAGTAGACGGAAAGTTGCTGTCCGAGCAAACTTTCCCAAATTCCACACTGGATGGAGAATGACTGTCTTCATTATCACGTTTGGTGCAGAAAGATAGGACGTTAAACCCTTTTTCATTTTTTTGATACGACACATTAGAACACGAACATTTATTTCAATTTATTTATGTACATTTATAAGCTGGATGATTACTGTAATATGCGATAAAGTTAAAGTGGGGATAGCAAATCGTTGATCTTTTGTTTTGGATGGTAGGACTTTTGGCAAGGCAGTGCTAAAATTAGACTATCATTTCATTTATATACATTTATGAGCTGGATGATTAAATATGCGATAAGGTTGAAGTGGGGATAGCAAATCTGGACACGTCAGCCTATCGTTGATCTATTGTTATGGATGCTAGGCCTTTTGGCAAGGCAGCGCTAAAGTTAGACAATCGAAAATCTAGATTCGGTCGATGGAGCACAAATCGTTTGACGGCATTTTCCATGACTGACAACACAAAGACATCGATTAAAGACAATAAAGCGAAACGAAATAGTAATAATACACGTAAAGTGGCTCTCACACTCTGCCGTGTAGGCCTACCGTGTGCCACCGTGCGCGAAAATGTCTGCGGACGGTGGAGAACGCCGAGGGCACACGGTGGTTCGTTATCAAAGCGGGCAACACGTTAATAGGACGTTGGCGCTTATTTACACCCGGTGGGACCCGGCGAAAGTTTTGGGCATGTTCAAAACTTTGGCCGGCTGGCACCGGCCACAAGTAAGCGGCAAGAGGGCGGTGTTGAACGGTATGAATACGTTATGAAAACGGTCACACTGTATGAACACGTTCACAACACGCTCATAAACCGTTACAGGGTTGTAAGCGGGTTGTGAACGTGTCATGATCGTATTGATACCGGGGACTCGCTCACAGGACGCTCCGAGCGGTGAGGGGACGCTAAGTGACTGGTATGTGGCTGCTACAAACCCGGTGCACACGTTCGAGACCCGGTATGGGCCCGGTATGGAAACGGCCGAAATTTTCAACAAAAGTCAATCTGAGCGGTGAAGACGGAAGAAGCACGTTCAACACCCGGTATGCGCCCGGTGAGAACGGTCAGAAGATGGCAACGAAACGGTGAAAAGATTAATTTTTTTTGCGGCCGGGGACAAGTTCGCTCAAAACCCAACGTTCTGCCAACGTTCTGGGCTCTGTTTTTTTTAATAGCCCGGCAGGTGGACGGTAGGCCTACACGGCAGAGTGTGAGAGCGCCATTATAAGGACCGTATAAAGTCAATGCCTTGGTGTAATGGATGGGGTGGGGAGTGTTTTTACCGACTTGCCATGATGAACCCCAACTTAACTGTCCAGATTATCGATTTATAGTCGGAGCCGCGGTGGCTTAGTGCTGATCCGGGGTTTTCTTCGTGCCCCCCCCCCCCCCCATCCCCTTGTCAGTGGTGCTGGACGAAGGACCTGACAAAGGACAGCGTAAAGTCGTTCGGATGGGACGAAAAACCGAGGTCCCACGTATACATTGGAGTGCACGTAAAAGAACCTTTCGCAGTTAGAATTCGATAGAAGAGTATGCCTTAGCGCCTTGCATGGCGTTTGTTTGTCTTCCGTAGGCTATGTCCGTCTTCAGTAGCCTAGTCGGGGCAGAATAGTAAGGCGTTAAACCCCATTTATAGCCATATTGTCTGCAAAAACGGGCAACTGTAAAATCGTTCGGATCGAACGATAAGAGGGTCAATAATGTAACCACTGTATTTACAAAACAAAAACATCTGTTTCAGTATGTTAAATAAACTGAGGTCTTGGCGACACTTTATTTGAATATATAAAGTATGAATTATATAGTAGATAATGTGACAATAACATAGATATATGTGGAAGATAAACAAGAGACAACTATTTACAGTGTAAGTTAGAAAGTCCCATCGAGTAGAAAGACTTATAACGTTTCTTAATGAAAACATGCACGAAATTCCTCCTAAAACCAAGCAAGTCTCATCGAAGTAGAAAGACTTATAACGTTTCTTATCGAAAACATGCACGAGATTCTTTCTAAAGCGAAGTGAACAATATTTCGTTTGCCGATTAGCTGGTACGAAGAAAAGCGTAGCACGTCATTAATCAATAGAATATTACATTATTCAATGAAATATATAATAACAATAACCATAATAATAATGCTATATATATATATATATAATTACAAATAATCAATAATTGTTATTACAACTTTAAATAAATACTTTTTATTTTTTTTACAATTACAACTAAATGCATATCGTTTACAGTAACCCGCTTCCTCTATAAAGGCCAACGCACATTTTACGATCTTGGCAAATCAACATCATTCAAGAGAAAGGCAAAATAACATGTGCTGGCCTTAAGGCAATTTAAAACATTTTTTTTTATATTAATTAACTCTTAAACACCGGACATCCTATATCAGCTGACAGACATAAAAATGGGAAACTCGTTCACGATTTTAAAAGTTTTTGAGAGATTTGACTATCCCACTATACATCTGAAAATGGCGGCATCCTGTAATACGAACATGAAATAAACCATGTTTTAGTAAAAATAAACCCGTTTTAGATCTCTAAGATATTTGGAAGACATCAGATTAAAAATTCAGTAAGTTCTAAAATGGAAGAAACTAAGTAAGTTTTAAAATGAATGAAATTAAGTAAGAAACGAAATTAAGTACATTTCAAATGAAAGATTTAAGAAGAGAGAGGAATCGAAGTATATAATGATTTCAATTATACAGTTATATAATTATTCTTGTATTTTTTCTTTCTTTAAAAAATATCCACCTAACCCCCACCCCCACAAAATAGTATCTATATAGACATAATTATTATAACATTTTTACTCCATGCAACTCTCTAATTGTCAGTATGAATTTTGAAGACCTTATGAGAAATAGGATGGGTATTTTTTTTTATTACACTTTTGTGTCAAAATAAGTACACAGGAAAACAAGTACCCACAGGGTTAGGTTATCCGATTACCAAAGGGTCTTCAAAATCGTAGAGTTGGTCAGGTTATGTATTATATTTACTGGTATAATTATAGACATTATTATAAGGTCCATGGAATAATCTATTTACATATATTTACATATAAAACATTTAAAAACAGATATTTAGATTCTTTTGAATAATTATATGTTATTAAGTACCTGGAAATTCGCGTAAATGTATTAAATAATACTGAAGAGCAAGACAGGTAGTCAAAATAAATGCGACCCGAATTACGCTGTAAGATGTACATTTGAAGGCAATAGCCCTTAATCTGATTAAAGTACAGATCTATATTTCTTTTCGATTCTTTATACTTTCGATGGCCTCCACTACATGAAGATCTAACCAGTTGTAGTGGAAGGTTGCGTCAGGGGTCATACGAGTGGCTTTTGACTCGATGACGTTTACCCAATCAACGTTAATGTATCTAGTGGGATACCCACAGTTCCGTACATTTTACGCCACGACAAGTATAATGAACTTTAAAAAAACGAAACGAAATAGGATCTCCGTTTTACTCAGATTGTAATATCCCAAGCTTATAAATTCACACCTACTCAACTACAATTTAATAGCGATTTTAGTGATATTTGATAACAAACTAAATTTTAAACATCCTACCAAACACCATTAAATAATAAAGGTTAGACTGAAACTATAGTTTCTTAACGTAAACCAATTACATACAAATATTTACAAACAACTTATTTGCTGAGAATAAGATTATAAATTAGTAACGTAAGAGTCTTCGGCAGCTTCATCATCTGAGAAGTCACCAAGACCAGAAGATGGTAGGGGAATAATTTTATGTGTTTTGGCTACTGCCACGGCATCTGATAGTTCTACGAACACGTTTTCAAGACCAATCTTCTCGTAAACACCGGCATGTTTCATTGCATCTCGCATAGTAGCGGAACAACCAGCCAAAAACATAGTAATATTAACATGTCCATATTCAACGAACATATGAGAAAGGACGCTAGCGCCAGAAACATCTAAATAGTTAATAGCTGCACAGTCTATAATAACATGATGTGTCTTTCTCAAGGACCGAAGCTTGGCATCAGTAACAACTTCTCCACCATCATCAGGGTCCTCCTCGTCATCAAGAAAAGTGGAATCCATGCTGGAATGACGTCTTCCCATGCGAGACTGTGTGTTATTGTTGACCCCATTCTGTTTAAGAGTATAGCTGTTGGAAGACATTTCTTCGGGGATAGAAAATCCGGGATTATCCATGCTCGAAAATGTGCTCATACCTATTTCAGCATTATTTAATCTGTTCTGTATGCTATCATAAGCAGGACTCTTGACAGGGTCACCTCCTGGCGATGTGGCGATATCATTGTTCAGTTCCCTAGTGATGACGGAATCACGTCTGAATTCGTTATTGTATCCTCCATCTTTCTGCATCTTAGCAACCTTCTTTTCTTTCTTCTTCAAAAGTTTCAACAACTTTCGGGGATTAACAGTCTTTCCATAGACTTGGCTTCGGAAAATTTCAGCATTGGCGAAATACAAAGATGAGTTATATCTGAAAACTTTTACTCCAAGGGTTTCTTGTGAATCGTTGTACTTTTTATGCTCGACAAACACACCATCCTTTGATCGGCCAACTCTGTATCCAGACGCAAATTGGGTCTGGAAGACCACAGAGATGAGGGAGACTCCAACACCGATGCCCAAACCAACATCAATATCCAGAAACACGACAGCGAGGAAAGTGGATAACCAGATGACGAAATCGTACTTGCTGACCTTCCAGTATTTGTAACCAATGGAGATTTGTACGAAAAGTCCCTTAAGGGCGACAGCAATGATTGCGGCAAGAATGGCTTTTGGCAAGGCAGCGAAAAGTGGTGAAATAAATAAGATAATTAGAAGAATCAAAACAGAGGTGACTAACCCGTTGAGCATGGTTTTGGTGTTCATGGCAGATGAAACCATGGATCGTGGTGGAGCGACACTTGATGGGAAGCATTTAAAGAAGCAACTGAGGAAGTTACACATACCATAAGCGATCATCTCTTGGCTGTCATCCACTTCGTAATTGTGTTTCTTAGCGCAGATTTTGGCCATAGCGATGGTGTTTGCAAATATCAAGATGGCAAGAATGAAACAGTCCACCAAGAAATTCGGAGCCTCGTCTACAGGGGGGAGAACGGGAGCAGGAATCGTATTCGGAATAGATCCAACAATATCCACGCCGAAATTTTTGTTAAATTCTCCAAAATAGGCAGCTAATGTTCCGACGATAACGACGATGAGTTCAATTGGGATTGGGATGACGATCTTGTGCTTGAAGCGTTCGTTGATACAGTCTTTAACAATCAGAATCACCACCATCGTTATAACCGCACAGATCAATGCAGTAAAATTGACCTCCGTTATATGCTCGAAGATTCCTTTATAATTCTTGACGATTTTAAATATTCCGCTGTGTCGAGGAACGTTTAGGCCCAACATGGGAGTAACCTGACTAGTGAAGATGTGTACAGCAGCACCGGAGGTAAAGGCAGCGAAGAAAGATTCTGAAAGGTAAGCTGTGATAAATCCGAGCTTCAGAAAGCCCATAGCTATCATCATCAGACCACAGAATAACGTCACAGACATTGCAATGCTTTCCTTATAATCCAGATATTCCGCTACTTCATCAACAGGAATTAAAGTATCAGTTCCATTAAACGTCTGATTCAACACCTCCGGGTGAAGAGCTTGAAACATTTCACCTTGTCTGTCCACGACGGCTGCCGTAAGAATACAAATAACAGCACTCGTACCCATAGAAACATGAGGCGATGTTCCGAACATCATGTAAATGAGTACAGGCCACAGCGACGTGTACAGTCCATTTTCAATTTTGACAGAGGTCAGTTGACCAAATCCCAGGGCTTGTGGTATATGAAGAATACCCACAGTCAATCCTGCTAGAAAATCCACCATCAAATACTCCCGAAGTTTGTAGTAGCGAATGGTCTTGATGAACGGTACATAACTTGTTAGAATCTTCCATGATCGCTTTTTCGAACAGTAGATGTTATCTTTTAATTTACTGAGTCGACTCACTGAGGTTTGGTCGGTATTCAGATGAAGCTCATCGAAGGATGTTTGGGTAAACGGTTGTCGACGAACAGTAATGAGGTTCTCGGAGGCCATCGTCGGTGGACATGAAGACCTGCGGAACTTCTCCGACTTCTCGTCTGAACCGACCTTTCCATTCTGCTGATCTTTGTTACCCATGTCTACCGCCACTTGACAGACGTGTCTCACGCTAGCACTAGCGCAATCACCTGAAAAGATAAGGAAACGTTTATTTAGAACAAATACAAAATTATACATTATTTAAATCATAACGTAGATAATTGTTGGCGGGTGTGGGAGGGAGGGGGGGGGTGTATTTGAATTTTCTATGGTGGTTTGAATAGCGTATAAATATTATAGAGAAGTGCTCAAGATACCCCATCATAAACATGATAATATCCACAAGAATATTAATTTAAGCACTCACAGAAGCCAATGAGCTAAGTCTTGGAGGAACTAACACAAGTGCCTTAATATAATGTCAAATCCTTATATATATACCACCTTCACGCAGTTTGACCTGTTGGGTGCTAGTTGGGCTAACAGGGGGCCCATTGAAACTACTTTAAGGAGATGGATTGATGCTTAAGTAGAAATATGGAGACAGCGATAACAAATATATGATACTACACGGTAAAAGGTAGACTGTTCTAATTCATGTCCACCGTAAAGTAGCATCAACTGGGTCTGAACGGACATGTAGCAATCCGTTGAGATAGGAGATAAAAGATTGGAAGTTTTCTTAAAGAGAATTCAGTAGTTTGAATTCATTTAAAAGTAGACTAGATATGTAATAATATTATTCACAATCTCTCCTGGTCTATAGTGACAGGAGTTGAAAAGCCATTTACATTTCGTGATAGAACAGATTACTTTTTCCAGTGTATTTATAGAGAATAAATATATCCATTGTATTTTATAAATTATTGATTGCAAGATGACGTAAGATGACATCAAGTAGACAGAAGAGTTCTCCATAATACTACTTGATGCTAATATATATCATAATACGATAAGAGCAGTGCAGTATACTTCATAGTACATCTACGTACATCGACGTACATCGTTAATTAAAGTCCTATACTTATTTTACTCATTTTAAAGATGCCAGTCAGTGACATTCTTCTGTTTCCATATATAGTAATCGTTCATTTAGCAACTTTCGGGATATGTAAATCTTTAAATAGTTGTCAAAGTAACGATTGGTAAGAAATGGACAATAAAACATCATAAATCAGTTTTTCTAACGTCGCCATGTTGCCTACGTTCTGCTTACGTACCGAGTCTTAAAATGTGATTAAGCCTTATTTGTTCATGTTAATTTACGAATGCCCCCTGGTGTTATTTTACGTATCCATTAATACTTTAGTGTATAAAATAATGTTAATTTACTAGTTCGACATGCAGAGGACAAAACCTGTCACCGATGATACTATGATGAATGTCCTAATTAGGTTGGGTCACCATAAGATAAAAAAAAAGCTATTTCAAGAACCCGAGTTTTTTTCGTGGCAACGAAGCTCTTTGGGTACTTCACTTCATGTAACTTACACCGTCAGAAATGAAATGAAATGAAATGGGGTTTAACGTCCTACTGTTCTGCTCCTAACCTGGGCTAATGAAGAAGGGCATACGCCATACAGTGTGCTATGAGGGAAATTTTGCCCGGGCAGCGGCACTACGGCCTACTCTTATATCAAATTCCAACTGCCAAGGGATCTTTTACGTGCACGCCAATGATACACCGTCAGAATATGGACTAACGATTAAAGACAGTAACAACTAGGCTACCAGGGAAACCTGTGACCTTTGCCCATAAATCACAACTGAATTATTTCTTGACACACCAATTGTATCTCATCGTGGCCATCTTTAAGTAGGCGGGCCATTTTGATTTCAACATTTTTGTCTTCGGACATGCATCTCCGACAATGGTGTTAGATGACATGTTCATTATCTTGATCACATAACAATCATAAGTTAACTTGATGAAACTTATGTTTATGACGTAATTTGATGTAATGGCCGAAGGGAGATCTATTGAAATACGTCGCACGTTTTCTATCTATCTTTACTCAACAAGAGAAAACTCTTAAGATTGGAATTGTTGTTTATGTGTTCTGTCAGGTCTAAGTAAGATAGCATCTACAGTTTACACAATAACCAATGTGTATTTTAGATAGAAAGATATAAATTACATTAGAATTGGGTTTTGGTTAAAAGCAACGTCAACACAACAATAAAATTAATATGTATTGTCTTTAATAAACATGTCATATTCATTTACCTAGATTCTCTTTAAATGAGACGTTATTACAATTTTAAAACATCAACATTTCCATATATGGCTTTTTCTTTCTGGAGAATTACCGCATGAAATATAAAATGAACACATCTCCCGGGCGTTACGCTAGCCATGGAAAATAAAATAGTCAATATCATATTTTATTGAATGAATACATCTCATGTGTGTGACTCTAGCCATGAAATAGTCAATATCATTTATTGAGTGAATACATCTCATGGGTGTGACGCTAGCCATGGAATACAGAATAGTCAATATCACTCATTGCTCAGTGTATGAACATATCTAAATATAGAATAGTCAATATCATTTATAATATGAATACATCTCCCGGGTGTGACGCTATCCATGAAATATACAATAGTCAATTCAATATTACGTAATATTTTAATGGTGTTTTTTCATTATAGTTATTTAAAGCTTGATATCTGTTGGGGGTTTTTTTTTTTAAAAATTATCTGTGGTTTCTTCTATCAAGTTTTAGATATAACTGTACTTAAATAATGCCTTTTGTGCAGTTAAATTGTTTATTTTTATATAAAAATTAGTAAACTTCTATTGTTTAGCCTGTAGTGTAGGCTTGAAACTATACCCCAAAAGAGTACTAAAATCTAAATTTGGACAACTTATTTGGGACATAAAATCGCACATGTTTTTTTATGCGCTGATGTATATTACTCAAATAGATTTAGTAATAAAATAAAGGGCATGAGTTTATAAAGGTTTTTTTTTTATATGGTTCACTATTTGATAAACAGCTATTTTTTGGGGGCGAAACTTACATTCCTATATGTTTGAATATCAATCGATCTCTTTTCACTCCATATTTCTAATATTTGGTAACCATACCCAGTTCATACATCAGGCAATCAGTTTTATAATAGGATTTGCCATAAAATTAAATAGTCCTGTTCGAATTCTTTTTTTCTTTTTCAACTATTAGAGCGAAAATTGCTTCCTAATATTTTGGTGAAAAAAATACCCAGCTATTGCTGTTTACAAGAAATACATGACATACTAAAGTCGTACACAACTTTAATAGATGTGTGAATTATCGGCGAGTTGAAATTATAACCATGCCTTTAGAATTAGCATATATATTATTTGTAACCGAATAATAAAAGGGGACAAAATGATTTTCTTTTTTTTTTTTTTTTTTTTTTTTGTGTAGGCAATGTCAAATACACATATGCATGTTCAAAATAAATATGGTTTAGTATTTACACTACCATAATAAAGCTATTAAATGCATTTTGAAATAAATTAGCCATATGATTATGATCGAACTAAAATTGTGGAAGACTACTAGTGAAACCTGTGACCATAAATCACAAGTGAATTAAATCTTGACACGTCAATTTGTATCTCATATTAACACTCGTTAAGCAGATGGGCCATTTTGATTTCGACATTTTTGTCTTCGGGGATGTACCGCCGACATGTTCATAATCTTGATCACATAACAATCATAAGTTTACTTGATGAAACTTATGTTTGTGACGTAATCTGACGTAATTTCCTTTCAGCGTCGCGTGCGCATCACGTCACGATGCTGCAACAAATGGATTGCATCATTTAGATGCATCTAGATAATGGTCAAAGGGAGATCTATTGAAATACGTCACACGTTTTCTATCTATCTTTACTCAACAAGAGAAAACTCTTAAGTTTGGAATTGTTTATTTGTTCTGTCAGATTTAAGTAAGATGGCGCCTACAGTTTACACAATAACTAATGTCTAATTTATACAGAAAGATATAAATTACATTAGAATTGGGTTTTGGTTAAAAGCAACGTCAATAAGATTAATATGTATTGATTTTTTAAAAAAAAAAAAAACAAAACATGCCATATTCATTTAACTAGTTTCTTATTCAATTAACTAACTACAATTTTAAAACATCAAAATTTCCATATATGGCTTTTGTTTCTGGAGAATTACCTCAATTTGGCTGACTAATTGTCAAACGTAGTTCTTGTTTTAGCCTAGCCATGAAATATAAAATAGTCAATATCATTTATTGAATGGATACATCTCATGGGTGTGACGCTTGTCATGGAATACAGAAAAGTCAATATCACTTATTGCTTTGTGTATGAACATACAGAATAGTCAATATCATATATTGAATGAATACATCTCATGGGTGTGACGCTTATCGTGGAATATAGAATAGTCAATATAAAATATATTTAAAACTTGATATTTGTTGGGGGGTTTTTTAAACAATTATCTGTGGTTTCTTCTGTAAAATTAAGATATCATTGTACTTAAATAATGCCTTTCGTGCTATTTTAATGTTTATTTTTATATTAAAATAAATTACTAAACTTCTATTGTTTTGCTTGTAGTGTAGACATGAAATTATATTTGGACAATTAATTTGGGAGATTAAATTCGCACATGTCCTTCTGCGCTCATGTATAGTACTGAAATAGATTAAGTAACAAAACCGAGGGCATGCCATTAACAAATGTTGTGTTTTTTTATGTGGGTCACTATTAAATAAACAGCTATTTCGATTCATTTTTTATTTATATATTTTTGCGAAACTTACATCTCTATTTATTTTTCTTTTCGCAAATATCCACTACCCAAATGCAATATCAAAGTTTAGTTTTCAACTACCATAATAAATCTATTTAATCTATGCAATATCAAAAGAAAAAGACTTTCGTATTTAACTACCCTAATAAATCTATTTTTATGTGGGTCATTATTAAATAAACAGCTATTTCGATTCATTTTTTATTTATATATTTTTGCGAAACTTACATCTCTATTTATTTTTCTTTTCGCAAATATCCACTACCCAAATGCAATATCAAAGTTTAGTTTTCAACTACCATAATAAATCTATTTAATCTATGCAATATCAAAAGAAAAAGACTTTCGTATTTAAC